CTTTGTTTACGTTCCTCCCAGAAACTGCAGTACACATTATTGGTAGATCTTAATTCTCTTATATTCCTTGCTCCATTTGTTTGTTAATACATTTTATATATGTACTATACATTGTATATTTTACATATATGGTACATACATACAGTACTACATATAAGTACATGTAAAATGTTCATGTTGTTCGTCACGAAGTACATACTAATCCAATTACTTCGTATTTCAAATATGGGTGTAGTTTTTGGAATTAAATTACTATGCATCTAAACAAAACAAGGAATTATAAAAATTCGTTTCTTGAAAATTTCAAACTGACAATAAAGGAGAAGTTGAATATTTTATTCAAACTATTTCTGAAAATCAATGAATATTAAACCTGTGGATAATCATACAAAATGGTAACCAATACGGCCTACTGGATTCAGACCATAAATATTTCAAACTAAACTATTATGGACATCCACACCAATTTAGAAGCAATATTTGGGTGCCAGGGGATGGGGGAAGAGGCAACAACTTGGTTCAAAATTTTCCTTTTTAATATATCTAAGAGACCTCTCTTATTTACTTTCTGCCCCATCTAACTATTTCATCCCCCCCCCCACACATATATTTCAGAATTTTCCGAAACAGGAATCCTGGATATCAATAATATTTCTCATTTTTACACACTAAGTGGCTTACGCGGTCGTCCACTCCCCCTCTACCATGTTGTAGCCGCAGTGTTTAGCCCAGAAATGTACACAACAGTGTAATAATACTTATAGACAAAGCTAGCCGGAAATATATTTACTAAATTTGGGACTACTCTACCGTTAACTGTCTACATTTTGTGTCGTGAGCTTAACGCACGAAGAGAAAGGTAGCGTATTAAGGAAACTGTGCACTGTGTAGTTTAAACTACTGAAGCACTTCCTAGATATACAGTAACCTAACTTAACTAACACAATTATATCATATAATAAACCAGTGTTTTTAACTTAATTTTTAAATAATTCATTTTATAAAATACAGTATAGAGGAAGGCTCTAAATTTGTAGTGGGCATTATTACGAAACTCAAGAGTTTGTCTTGAATATGGTTTGAAAAGTAACAAACAAGAAATATTTAGAACAGAAAGGCATCTGCAGTTTCTGTGAAGATTAAACATATTCTAATTGTTCACTGAGTTGCTTTATAATGTGTGACGGAACAATCTAAACTCTGTAGTTTACTGAAATCTGATGATGTTCCTGATATAGATATTTCTTGGTTTCGAGTGTGAGTTATGCAATAATCTTAATCCTGTTTGGCTTGAGCACATGGATACAGAGCTCTGTATGATCAAGGGTTGAGAGAGAAAGTATCTCTAGGATGGTAGGTAAGGTGGAGACGAGGGTGGGGGAGGCGGGGGGTACTGAGGAATATATAAAATTTGTTTAAATAAATGATAAATTTACAAACACTTAGAAAGTGAGAGTATAAAATTAGTAAAGCAAGAAAATACTAAGAATAGAAATGAATGAGAAAACTATAAGAAGCATCAGAGCATCAGATACGATGGAATGCGTGCATCAACCTCTCTGCAGTTTAGAATATCACGAAATATATTTTTATCGAATACAAAGGAAAAGAAGATAATGGAACAGAGAAGGTTGAAGAGAAGGTTTGAATAAGAATCAAGAGAATGAGATGAAGCTTTTTTAAATAATTGATTGGAATGACTTCATGAATAAGAGTAATGGGATAAAAGAGAGATGGGATGAAAGAGTTTTCATAAATGAGATGGATGAAATAAGAATAGTTTCGTGATTAAGAAGGACGAATTGTAATTGTGTTTTTGAATGAGAGGGATGAGTTAAAGGAACTGTAGACGCAATTTTATATAGAAGTAGAATTACAAGACAGAGAGAGAACATGTTCTACTCCGACTACGCGTAACTCCTTTGGGCTTCTGCTTTGTGAACTAAATGCTTGTAAATCTTAAAAGACGACATCTATCTGGTTTTTGATTAATCTATGATGACGGACTTATCCTTATTTTTCTCTACATGAATGATTGTGACAATATAAGAAAGGGTTTCAGGAATAAAAAAAGTAATAAGACTGTTTTTATATACATACATAAACGATGGGATGGTAATGGTTCCATGAATGAGAGAGATCATAAATGAGAGAGATCATGAATGAGAGGGATCATGAATGAAAGGGATCATGAATGAGAGGGATAATGAATGAGAGGGATCATGAATGAGAGGGATCATGAATGAGAAGGATCATGAATGAGAGGGATCATGAATGAGAGGGATCATGAATGAGAGGGATCATGAATGAGAGGGATCATAAATGACAGGGATCATGAATGAGAGGGATCATGAATTATGAGAGGGATCATAAATGAGTGGATCATAAATGAGAGGGATCATGAATGATGAGAGAGATCATGAATGAGAGGAATCATGAATGAGAGGGATCATGAATGAGTGGATCATAAATGAGAGGGATCATGAAAGAGAGGGATCATGAATGAGCGGGATCATGAATGAGAGGGATCATGAATGAGAGGGATCATGAATGAGTGGATCATAAATGAGAGGGATCATGAATGAGAGGGATCATGAATGAGAGTGATCATGAAAGGGATCATGAATGAGAGTGATCATGAGAGGGATCATGAATGTGAGGGATCATGAATGAGAGGGAAAGGAATTGTTCATTATAGAATTGCATAAGGATGTGCGTACACTCACTGCCAAGGGTTAAATACATCAACCAAGGGTGGACACTTACAAAGATGGGTGTGTACACTTAGCGAGGGGGGAGGAGAGAATTGCAGGGAGGGTTTGTGAGGGGAATATGAGGAGAGAGAAGGCGTGTAGTGCTAAGAACAATAGGATGTTAGGGAGCATAGGGCAGGATAGGATCGCTAATTTTTCCTAAAAACGAGACTGTCAATCACCGTCAGGTTTTTAGACGTTTTAACAAATTGATTTTCTGAAAATCAGATGAATACCTTCCTATACAGTTTCCGCTCACACATCGTGCCCTTGTTTCCCTTAATTTTTTCTTTTTTCTTTTTCAACTCAAATTATTAATCTTAATTCACAACTCGCAGTAATAAGCTTAAGAGGAATTGAGTCTTTAATTCTCTAATCCGCATGGTTTATACCATGCAGTTTCAAAGAAAAATTGAGTTGTGGCAAATCGACTCAATTCCTTTACAAAATACCATAAAGTTAACGAATATACTAAACCTATTTTGGTTGCAGGCTGCAGCATAATCTTGAAAGTTTCCTATTCTAACTAGAAGGGTTGCCTGACACTTGTATGATGTATAGGGGGTGTAGAGTACACACTACACAATAAACACTGCAAACTACATACTTGCGAATACTTGAACTAGGGAAAGTTTGTGCTCATACTGTGTGTAAGTGCATGCAGGGGGATTCAAAATGTGTCAGACTGACTTTAAAATATATTTGCTGTATTGCCCTTTGTTGCCCAGGTTTATTTTAATATTCATAGTTATAGATACTCCCGCCGTTCACCCGCGCTTGGTATTAAGTCACAATTTTTTACTGAAGCCCCGCGTGTGTTGCCCGTAGAATTGACAAAATTTACAATTTTTTAACCTATGTTACCGGCCCTCAGGAAACCCATGGGTTCCCTGCAAACTATATGTGAACATTTAACATAAACATAGTTATGTTAAAAAGTTAAATAGCGTTATCATATAGAAAAGCAGGAGCTGATTTAACCGGCGCTCCCCAGGTTACTCATAATTACCATCACGTCACACCTCAAATGTCCTTCCTTACCTTCCATAAACTTAATCTCCTGACATTACCAAACACTCCTAACACTCCCAACTCCCCTCTCCCATCTGCACAAACCAAAAATAAGAAAATACGCAATTACAAACACTATCTCAAGTACACAACCCTTAAATGCTAACCATGGTTTAATTTTAGTAAACTGTGACAGTAAAAGGTATGAGAGAATGGCATTTTTTCCATACAGTGAAACCCTTAATAACGAATACATCGGAAGAATTCATCAAATGTCGTCTTGACAATTTTTTAATGAGTTTTATACTACAGGGTGTCCCAAAAAACATGGGAATTCAGTGACGAATTCGATATCGTCTTTGATATGAATTAGCATTGTAATACCTAATTTCATAAGCCATAATATTATTATGTCTGCTAGAGTTTATTTTATGAAAAGGGTAAAAGACTGTAAAGATGAGTCTATAATGTCTCCCCAAGATGAACAGTGAAGACTGACAAGTTTACTCTGTTTGTATACTGTAATTTTTTTGTTTTATTAAGTACAACCGTATGCAGTCAAAACATAAACAAACACAATGTGAACACAGCAGACGAAACTCTTACAAATTACAGATTTCTCAGTAGGTATCACCATACTAAATCTAAGAATTATTTAAAAAGACAATATCGAATTCGTCACTGAATTCCCATGTTTTTTGGGACACCCTGTATATTACGTAAATTTCAGTATTTGCGAAAATAAATAAATAGCCATGAATATGCGGGAACAGGTTTTAAGAGTTCCATATAATCATTTAATTAAAAAACTAAATATCTGCAACATTCCATTATCAGAAAGTGAAGAATACGACATTTAATGAATTCTTTCGATGTATTCGATCGTTATTAAGGGTTTCACTGTACAAAAATTGGTGTCATGCATCCGGACACTTCCTTGCGACAGTTCACCTCCCCCCCTAGTATTAACACAATTTTAGACATAAAAGACACATTAACAATTATCTATCTATCGAGTAAATATTGATTGTTTATAATTAAAAAAAACGACGACATTTTAAAGGAAATAACACTGGACACTGGACTGGATTATATTTTAGTGCATGCCAGATTAAGATGTGTACTAAATAGTTTCGTGTTTAAAAGTTGTATACAACATGGAACAGTTAGAACACATTGATATAAATAATTTTGTTCACCGCGGAAGACGACTTTTAAATATGTCGGTTTCCTTACCTTGAGTGGAACTTCCAAAGATGATTCCACTTTTTGATTTTTTCTCCAGAGGCGGCACCTGGAAGTATTAGCATAAATATAGACATTATATTGAGAAGATAATCTTCGTATCTAACTTTAAATTGATGACTACTTTATTCCTGGAAGATTATAAGAATATCTATTTCACTATTATTTTTGTTTTTTTTGTTTTAAAACTAAACGCCTGTAAGCATAATATCAAATAACACCCTCAATACAACTTTACCCTTTAATCCTTTGACTGATCATCGAGGGAAAGAAACCCGTGTGTTTATTTCTAAAATTGTGTTCAAATTGCTGCACAACTGTTTGTTTGTCCAATCATAAGTCAGGAACCCCTGGACAGATTTGCGTCAAATTTTGATTGGGGAACTTGGGAGAGCCACAGGAATTATCTTAGATTGGTTTTGAGATTCTAAGAGTAGTGAATCGGCTTTTATTTTAAAAATTTAGTTTCCCGTTAAAATCGACCAAGTGCGGGTAAACTGCGGGAGTAACTATGAGTAACCTGGACAATACTGGGATCCCAAGCTAGTACATGCATATTCTAAAATATAAATTTCATTTCTCTATTGCACTGTAATATATGTACTTACAAAAGTATTTGACTCTGTAAGATTTGGAGTAGATCCTCCCATATCCACAACCGCCTTGTTTGTTGTACCGTACACCTAAATATAATTATATTGTACGGTACACCTAAATATAATTATATTGTACCGTACACCTAAATATAATTATATTGTACCGTACACCTAAATATAATTATATTGTACCGTACACCTAAATATAATTATACCCTGTTCTGTATTTGTTTACTAAGGATCGCGGCAGCTTTAGGTATGAAAATTGAGCCGCAAATTGATATCATCGAGATAAATTAGAATACGTTTAAACGGACTGAAAGCGTATTTAGATGTGTCCCCACATGGAAAGATAGAAATGACAGATTGAGAACGGTATCCTTGATCTGATCAATAATGTTAAAGATACTTTCGTTCTCTAGGTTTAAAAGTACTAAATTCTTATAATTCCTAAATGTTTTTCTGCTTAGAAATGCGCAAGTCACGTCTGAAGAGAAACCATGATTGAAAATAATCAGTTTTATTTAAATTTTAAACATTGATATGTAATTCATTAGAATTGATTAGATTAAGCGTACCGTTGTGAATTGGGCATTGCCATCTTTGCATGGAGGTCACTTGAAATTACGCGTACAGTCCCTTTAAGTTTTGTAAAAATAATAATATTTGATGTTTACCCCTTCACTGAGCAGAAGACTGCCAACCCTGTATACTGTTGAGAGACGAACTGACCCTTTAGTATTCTCCAATGCTTCCCCAGATGTAGCAAAACTCCTATGCACATGTTTTTGTCAAGTTATATATTAATATTCACATTTTTCTGCATTTTTTCAAGAATTAATATCTTATTTAGTGAGACCAAAAATAATTGTAATAAAATATTTATTTATATTTTAATAATACCTTAAACGCCCGGCGTTGTCCGTGGGAGAAAAAATAATTTTGAAACCAAAATTAAACATTTTGAAGAAAAAAATTCTATTTTTTTAGCCTATTGTCCCCAAGCTACCCGTGACTGTCCACAAAAATTTTCACCCCATTCGGTCCAGTCGTTTGGCCGGCCAGAGGTAACATGTATACAAATGTCTTGTTTTATTATATAGAAATAAAAAAACATAGTTTTACCAATTAAAAAACAATTGAATAAGTGAAATGAGTTGTATAGTCTACATTGCACAATGTGTGGACACTGAACAGTGAACGTGTTACAGGGTGTCCCACGAAACATGATAGTTGGCGAATGGTTTTGAATGTCTTCTTCCATATATTATATTAGATATTAAATACCTTTTGCAGTGTATTTCGTTAGCAAAACCTTTTACTTAAATATATTTTACTTTGAAATCAATTTTTTTATGACTGCTGCATGTTATATTTCTTATTAATGATAATTAATCTCTTTTGTATCAAACAACCTAACAAATTATGAACGAAGACATTTAAAACTATTCACCAACTGCCATGTTTCGTGGGGTACCCTGTAGCTCTCATTTTCATTGGACTATTTAAAATCATAACTGGAGTCAAGTCTAATTCACAGTTATATGGGTCCGACTTTAGTTATTATAAAACGCATTTTTTTCCTTATATAAAATATTATTACTACATATTCGTATTTCGAGTAATCGAAGATACTTCTCATTACCTCTCTAGCGTTGCACTTGAAGAATTTAAATCTCCATAAAAAGACGACATTCTGTTCACTCTTGGAACACGTCCAACGGTAGCCGTTTTTTGCTCGTTTGTATTAAAAACAACTTCTCCTAAAATGAAAATTAAGAAATCAATAAAAAAAATATACAGAAAACAAAGTTGTTAACAAAGAAAAATGTGTTACCAGGAATTGTGGAAAAGTCTCTATTTTTAAAAACTGGAACATCTGTGTCAGATCTAAACAGATTAGAAAATGTACAGGGTGTCCCAATAAACAAATTAGAAAATGTCCAGGGTGTCCCAATAAACAAATTAGAAAATGTCCACTGTCCAGGGTGTCCCACGAAACATGACAGTCTAGTCTTATAACCGTGACCTTCAGTCGTCAACCTATACTTAAATATGTATGATTCTTCCAAAAATAATTCACAAAGTTCTCCTATTCCTGGCATTTCGTTCAGATTTCAATTTTGTTAAATAAACCAAAATTGTTGAAATTTGAACGAAATTCTTTATATCTCGGGTAATATCGAGAGCAAAAAAGGCAGACCGCGTTTTGGAAATGCCAGGACTAGGGGTATTGAATGATTATTTTAACTCTAAAATTTTACTTCTAAAATAAAGTTGAAAAATAAATACAGCAAATTATATAAAATCTAAGACGACCTTTAAGTCGTCTTGCTACTGTCATGTTTCGTGGGATACCCTGTATTATTTGTATTGTGCAATTTAGATTTTCTAAATAGTCATTTTTTAAAAGAAATAACATACTCTACATTTCTTATTATGATTTCGATATATTTAATATTCTCATAAGTTAAGTATAAAATCTATTTACATTTTCAAGGGCGTTTACAAGGGGGAGGCAAGGGTGCAGTGCTTCCCCCAAGACTAGTTAAACATAGCCCCCCCCCCTAGAACTCAGAGCTATCACACTTTTTCAATCTTAAACTTAAGAGTGAAGAACATAAAAAATAGTTTGCTGTTCTGAATCAGGGGGTTTTAGTAAAATGTAGATTTAAAAAAAAATTTCTGTTAGTTTTGTTTAAAGGAGAGATAATGTAGTATTTTCAAATTAATTGGACTGTCTGTGTACCTTTAAAGTATCTTATACTTATGCCTGATATTCAAGAAGCCAAATGTTTTGAATTTACAGTTCAAATTTTGCCTCCCCCAGCCCCCTTGGAGCTTCTAGATTTTTTTCTGTATCCACCCTTGAACATTTTATGATGCCATATTGCCATTAAAAAACATAAATTAAATACATTTTCAGAAATGTACTTACAACATTATTTTATTGATTTTAAAGTAAATATTGCTTAGATTTTTTTTGTATTTGTATTTTGCAAGATTTTTTAATCTGTTGGTTGGCTAGACAGCAGCAACTAATTTTACTTTCTCAATACCATAATATTTTTTGGACAATAAGTTCAGACGAGAGGGGAAAGGCAGGCGGCCTTAAGCCACAACATGTTTCCCTTTCATGATTAATTTTTGAAAACATTATGAACAATAAAAATGATGCATCATAACATACTCTTAAAGTACAAACGAGAAAATTGCAAAATAGAATTTTTTTTGAGGAAATCTGTAATGCTCAGGTAATGCTAGTTAATATTGTGATTTTTCTCATATTTTCTTATTCTTTAGATTACTCCAAACAATTTGTCTCTGTGCCCACAATGCGTAAAATGTTGTAAAATTACCATTGTATAATGTGAAGCAGTTTATAAACTGAACAGAAAATTCATTGATCTTTAATAAACTTCTAAAATTTCTTAAAGATATGATCTTTGCGTAATGATTAATAAAAGTTTTTCAATCTGTGATACAAACCTTGCATCTCTAGTATCAGCATGTATTCCAACAGATACCATTGGTACTCTAGCAGACTCATGTCTTGTCACAGAACGCCCAAACGTACCCTATATACATTGTATAATGTACAGGGTGTTTTTGAAAATTTGGTTTCTTTCATTTTGTAAAGAAATAGATAAAAATCCACCACAAAAATTAGCTAGGTAGACTTCTTCCAAACTATATATTTGCGAAACTGTTTTAAAATGGAAAATCTTCGAATAAATCTCTGTTTATCCTGTCTGTCTTTTGGGTTGGATGCTCGATCATAACTTGATTATCCATTTTTCATCGCTTTTTAAAGGATTTTTATCTATCTCTAAACGAAATATAAAAACACTTTTTCAAAAACACTCTGTATATTGAATAGATAATAAATATGTAAACCCAGTGATCTTGAAGGATTCTTGATACCTTACTTCTAGCTGCCATTGTTTCATTATAGTCCGGTGGAGGCAGATTTGGAGGTTCAGGGAGCTCTCTCTTTATCAAACCTCCATTTACACCTCGGCCTCCATTCATTCCTGTACCCTTATATCCATTAGACACTCCAGTTCTACTCAAATTGTTACCTCCATTAGATATTTCATTTTTACTAAAGGTATTATAGCCTCCATTTTGTCGTAAATCATGATGACCTCCATTTTCTCTCGGTAAAGTATGACGACCTTCATATTCATTCTCCAGTTGGGAACCTGAATAATTTTCATTTTATTCCAATTGCACAGTACAACAATGAAAATGAACTAATTATAGAGTTCATTGATAGGAGCGAATCTACTTAATTTTTTTAATGAGAATTTAATTCAGATTAAAGAAGAATCTGGTTTAATGAATTCTTGATATAATATTCTAATAATAAAATAAGTGGGTTGTGGGATTTTCATAAATTGTTTTGCTTTTGTGCGCGTGTCATGAGCGGGGTATTAGATTTTATGTAAAACAAATACTATAATTGTAAATCGTCAATAACGATCTTTAACTGGAAAGTGAATCACAAAAATTCGCTTTGAGATTTTATTCAAGACATTTTGCTCAAATGTGAAATTTCTAGAATGCAACTTATAAGATTAAACCTGTATTTGTATCACCAATCATTTGTTCAGGGTTTGGAGTCGATGTGGAGAAATCCTGAAAGGAAAAATCTAAAGTTTTATTAAAACCTTTATTCGGTATTTTTCATTTAAGGATGTTATCTTTAGAAGCGGCTTACGATATTTTCCAGGGGTGGGGGGGTAGAATTTTTTACGAAAATTTCTCAGCCCCACGGCGGCCCCTGGCAAAATTTTTCCCCCCATGGTTTTTGATAACAGGATTTTTTCCTTAAAAAGAATCTATTCTTGGAAATCAAAATTAAAGGGCTAGGCGCTCTACTTGCACCTCTAATTTTCCAGGGGGGACACCACACCCCCTAATTGCCCCCCTCTCTAGGTCCCCTCTTCCCTCCCCCTTTAAGCCGCTTATCCTTACCTCCTCGCCATTAAAGAATGTTCTGGCTTCATCTGGAGCCAGTTTAGTGCTTAACCTAAACAGTCAATTAATGGTAATATTTTTAGTAAAAAAACTGTAATCATTAGCTTACAAATAAGCATATTTTATTAAAAATGGTTACATTTACTGCCGAAAATGGTTTTATTTTTGGCCTTAAAGGCCTGGGCTTTTATGGAAGCTTTAAAAGTTCTTCATTTTATTTACATTTTGGTCTTTTATTTTTACCTTTTCTCCGAGCATTTTCTCCTGTTAACAGACAGAATTTTAGTAAAAACAATATTTTTTTTTCAGACATACCTGAGAGTTGAATTCTGTGGTATATCGGCCGTAGAAGAATTGTGTAAATCACTGGAGGCGGAGAGATTGTGTGCATCTCTGGAGGCGGAGAGGTTGTGTGCATCTCTGGAGGCGGAGAGGTTGTGTGCATCTCTGGAGGCGGAGAGATGGTTTAAATCTCTAGAGGCGGCGGAGGGATTATGAAAGTCTCTAGATGCAGAAATATTGTGTAGGAAGGAAGTTGACCTGTTCAGGCGGTATTGTGAGTGTGCAAGGTTAGACCTGAAACATTTATTAAAGGGACTGTAAACGTAACTTCAAGTGACCCTTCATTCAAAGATGGCATTTCCCGATTCACAAGGTACCATTAAAACACTTATCTAATCAAAGATGTGGCAGATATTCTCGTTCAAGGTTTTAAAGTGGTTAGTCTTATGATTCCTATATGTTAGTCCTATATGTAGAAAGTGAAAAAATAAGTTTTCAAAATAATATACATAGAAATAAAATCATACTTGATCAGACAAAGCTTTTAAGGATACAGTTGTGAATCAGACATTTCTATCTTTGCAGGGAGGATAACGCTTAGAGTTCCTTTAAGTTTATAGATATCATAAAACAGAAATTTTTAGAGATTAGAATAATAACCCACATGTGAAACATTTTTTTTCTATTAAATGGAAATACTTTTTACATTCTTTTTAATCCTGACAAACCAGAGTACACAAACTTTTTTCCATCCTTTGCAATTCCTTGCTACTTCTCTATGTTTCACCCACTCCTTTTTACCTTCCCTACCCCTTTATTTTTACCTTCCCTACCCCTTTATTTTTACCTTCCCTACCTCTTTCTTTTTACCTTCGCTAAGCCTTTTTTTACCTTCCCTACCCCTTTATTTTTACCTTCCCTACCTCTTTCTTTTTACCTTCGCTAAGCCTTTATTTTTACCTTCCCTCCCCCTTTATTTTTAACCTTCCCTTCCCCTTTATTTTTACCTTCCCTACCCCTTTATTTTAACCTTCCCTACCCCTTTATTTTTACCTTCCCTACCCTTTTATTTTTACCTTCCCTACCCCTTTATTTTTACCTTCCCTACCCTTTTATTTTTACCTTCCCTACCCCCTTTATTTTTACTTTCTTTACTCCTTGATTTTTATCTTCCCTACCTCTTTCTTTTTACCTTCCCTACCTCTTTCTTTAGACCTTCCCTAACCCTTTATTTTTACCTTCCCTACCCCTTGATTTTTACCTTCCCTACCTCTTTATTTTTACCTTCCCTACCCTTTTATTTTTACCTTCCCTACCCTTTTATTTTTACATTCCCTACCTCTTTCTTTTTACCTTCCCTAACCCTTTCTTTTTACCTTTCCTAACCCTTTATTTTTACCTTCCCTACCCCTTTATTTTCACCACCCCTACCCCTTTATTTTTACCTTCCCTACCTCTTTTTTTTTACCTTTCCTAACTCTTTATTTTTACTTTCCCACCACTTTATTTTTACCTTCCCAACCTTTTTATTTTTACCTCCCCTACCCTTTATTTTTTCCTTCCCTACCCCTTTATTTTTACCTTCCCTACCCCTTTATTTTTACCTTCCCTACCAGCCTTCACCTTATTTTTCTTCCTGCAATACTGGAAGCTCCTTCAAACTCCTGCCTTCACTTTCAATCTTGATTTATAATACATCTTCCCAACCCTGTACCCCTTGCCTTTGCCCCCCCCCTCTCTACCCTTATTTGTACCCTTGTATCAACCTTTAACCCCTTATACCTCCTTTCTTCCCGCAATGTAATTGACACTCTTTTAAACTCCTGCATTTATTTTCAATCCTAATTCATAAACCTCTCCCTACTGCTGTAACCCTTACTAGTATATTGCTAACCTTAAATATTCAGGAGATCTTGTCTCTATAGGTCCGCTCATATAACTATTCGACCTTATAACAGTTCTCCGATGATGGCCTTCCATCTTTCTTTATTTATCTTGGAAGTCTATTTTGTTCCGTTCATATCCCTTTTTCTATTATTTCATTCTAGTATCTAGAAATTTAAAACATAATTTTATTATACAATTATTTTTAGTAATATACCCAATTTCTTAGCCGTGGAACTTTGGTACAGCAATAGCAACAATATAAAGCAGTGTAGACTGTAGATTGATAAATACAACCTATGGTTGTAACTTTCTTAGCATGAATAAGACATTGAGCTATAGGTTTCTAACTTAAAACGTAAGGGTTCGAGGATCAAAATCGTTGCTGCGTAAAAATCTTCAAATCAAAGTTTGGAATATTAAAGGTTTAACCATCAGGTTGTGAAGATATAGGAATGAAAAAAATTGAGTTTGAGGCAACAACTCAACTCCGAAAAAATAAGTTTGAATAGTGTTTATGAATAAAAATCTGAATAATATGAATACAAATTTTTATTCTATCTATCTATCTATCTATCTATCTATCTATCTATCTATCTATCTATCTATCTATCTATCTATCTATCTATCTATCTATCTATCTATCTATCTATCTATCTATCCATCTATCCATTGGTTTAAGGTTTAGGAACCATTGCGAATTGATAATTGAATTTGCAATTGTTCTAGATAATGCGAATGTATTTATGGTCGGAAGAATAATTTTGGAACTATGAATCAGAGATTTTAAAAATAAAGGATGTTTTATTAATCATGATTATTCGAATGCAAATGTTAAATGTAAATATCTGTATTACAAAAGGAAGTTATGTTGAACTTTAGCACAACTTTGTGACCTCTCAGTTCCTATAGATTTGATTTTATAATGCCACAAGCATGAGGCAAGAAAGTTTTTTTATAATAAAAATTATTAATTCAAAACATTTTTGTTCTTCTAATCTTCAAATAAGAGGAATTATGATTAAAAACATTAAATTCCAATCGTACGTGCATTCACACACTTCAGTTTAGATAGATAGATTGAAGGATATATAGATAGATAGATAGATAGATTGAAGGATATATAGATACGGTACATGCACACACAACTTATTAAATCTGCTAACTGAGAAATTATTCAGAAAATTAGAAAATATTCTCAGAATACAGCTAAACTGGTACTTTTCAAAATCTTACTTTCTTAACTTATAAACGTGTAAATTCCTTAACTGTTAAGGAATTGAGTCCGTGCCACAAACTCTTATTTTCTAATCCTTATATTTTTACAACCCAATGTCGTATACCTTAGATATTCCAAACTGTAAATTATGTTAGATCAAATAATCAACAGGTTGCAAAGATATAAGGATTAGAACATTTGAGTCTGTGGCAAAGACTCAATTCCTTTTCTACGGTTAAAGTTCAACATTTTAAAATCTAAAATGTTTAGGCAATAATTACGCCAAAAGACTAACAATAACTTTGGGAAGTAATTCAATTTAGACCTACACCTGTGTTATTAGTATAAATTAATGCAAACCCTTCTTCTATATATTATATACATATATACTTTGCTTGGGTGTTTGTTTTTGTGTCCGATAAACGTCAAAACGACTGGCCCAAATTATGCGTTGGACCTGACATGTCCCCAGGGAAGGTTTATGGACCATCAAAGTTGGAGAAAATAGCTTAGTTTTATGAGGTTACTACGTATTACGTATATTTACTGAAGTTTTACATAAAAAGCTTGAAAACTTGTGAAATTTCTGCAAGACTGAATGACGGACATGCACTAAACTTTTTCTTAACAATGTTACTTACTCAATGACAGCTTTAACAACTTGCTGATACTTACAAGCAGTAAAATGTAAGAATATTACTAGAATAGAAGTGTGTCGCGCATTTAGAAATTTTATTCAGATGCACTTGATAGGGCTCATCTCCCACTTAGATTAGATTTACTATGGAAATATACAGAGTTAAGAATGAGACTGTAAAGAAGACGATCTGAAAATATGACGATCTCATGGTTGAACTAAGTCTTCTGCCTTGAATATAGTCTTTTATGGCATAAAATGATTTGGCAAAGAAAAAAACAAGTTTATAGTTCCAGGGAAACAGTCGTCTCCGAAGTCTCATCCTTTTTGGGTAACCCTGTAGATATAGTGTTGGTTTATAAAAAATAAAGATTTATATTAAAGTTATTTTAATCGTTTATTAATATATTAGTATATTTATGCAGTATAGGTTGTAAACCTACATATATTAATTCAACCTTTGTGTGGTTTATGCAAATTTTGTCATCACAACCTGTCAAATTTGAAAATATTAAAGATACCTTTTTCCGATCCATCGTCCCCCCCCCCCTGTCCCTGTCTGCCTGTTTTTATCCTACAAAACTATACCTATACTTCTTGAATAATGATTCTAATATTCTGTGATAAAGTGGCCAAAATATTCTCAGGGGTTAGTTAATTGTTTTAGCAAAAATATTTAGCAATGAATACTTTTTGTGGTCATTTGTCATTCATCCTTTTCTTTGGTTTCTTATAGATTTCACAACACTTTCGGTCAATATTTAGGATATATTTAGAAAATATTTGGGATATATTTAGGAAAATATTTAGGATATACTTAGGAAATATTTAGGATATATTTAGGATATTTTTAGGAAATATTTAGGAAATATTTAGAAAATATTTAGGATATATTTAGGAAATATTTAGAAAATATTAAGAATATGTTTAGGAAATATTCAGGAAATATTTAGGAAATATTTAGGATATATTTAGGAAATATTTAGGATATATTCAGGAAATATTTAGGATATATTTAGGAAATATTTAAGAAATATTTAGGATATATTTAGGAAATATTTAGGAAATATTTAGGAAATATTTAGGAAATATTTAGGATATATTTAGGAAATATTTAGGAAATATTCAGGAAATATTTAGGAAATATTTAGGAAATATTAGGAAATATTTAGGAAATATTTAGGAAATATTTAGGATATATTTAGGAAATATTTAGGATATATTTAGGATATATTTAGGAAATATTTAGGAAACATTTAGGAAATATTCAGGAAATATTTGGGAAATATTTAGGAAATATTTAGGAAATATTTAGGAAATATTAAGGAAATATTTAGGAAATATTTAATTTTGTGTGCTTTTAAAATAAATTTTAAGTATTTTTTTTCTTTTTAGGTTTTATTTAGTTTTGTGTTTACATAATTGTATTTTTGTCTGTATTTCATTGATTTTAATACGTAGAATTATTCCTGTATACGCCCTGGCAAGTATGCGTATTGTGGACGTGCCAAGGATAAAGTTTGAGAAAAATGAAAACAATGAATTGTGTTTAAAACATTTTATTTACGTGTATACGTTATAAAATGTTCATACACGCTCAATCAATCACACGAAATGCTACTGGACATATTTACGTGTATGTATTTTCTGTATTCTGTATTATACAGGGTGTCCCAATAAACATGGGAATTAAATGACGACTTCTACATCGTCTTTGTTCCATGCGGGATTATTGCTTAAACATAATTAAAGTTAAAATATAAAACACCGAAAACTACTATTCTCACAATATCCAAATATGGTCTTCCATTTTGTTTACCTTCATATTGACAGAGATATTAGGAAAGCTGTCCAGATTCCAGTTTATGAAAACAAAACCGTTTAAACGTTTTTAAAATACAAAGAAGGTAGCCCTAAATTTGGAAAACTCATTAGACGTTTGATCTTGTTTGAACTTAATGTCATTGATCAATCATCGGAAATCAAAGACTATATTCAAGTCGTCTCTCAATTCCCATGTTGATTGAGACACCCTGTACTAATCAAAATATTTTCTCATGTATATATATTTATGTATGTAATATATAATGCTAAGACGCTAAAAATGTTTCACGGTATCTGGTCAGAGAAACTTTAAATCAAGGGGTGATGTACGGGAAGCACGATGGGGGGGGGGGTGGTTTAAGATTGATTGACTTGGATTACAGTCTAACGCGTAATTTTTATTCGTAAATAGATAGATAGATAGATGATACACAGTTTAAATCGTTGAATTTAAACTTAATTTTATCCTTTGCAAATATTAAACATAATGTACGCACGTTTTGACTCATACAATGAAAGATATATGAAACATTATAAATGCTTGGCTTTTAGGACGCTTCGCACACCCTTTCCCAACAGTTTCAGCTTCTAACTGTTTTAGTGAAAGTCGCCATTTTAAATCGTTCTAAAATTTTCGCAAATTTTTCATTTTAAATTCCCGAAACAAATTTTCAGTTTTGACCAGCAATGTGAGTTGCCACAGAAAAATTGAGCCCCGTTAGTTCAGCCGTTTTGTCATTTATTGGACACAAAGAAACAAACAAATAGAAATACAAGCCACATTTTTATATAGAATTAAAACATTATGAAATATATAAACGTATAAGTTTGTAGGAAAAAGAAAGAAGAACAAGAGCAATAAATTGGAAATGATTAAAATAATTGAAGAAAAACTAAAAAATGTTTCTTTCTTGTTGTCTAGGGTTTCTAACAATTAACAGGACAACATCGCGTTGCAAAGATATACAAATTACAACATTAGAGTTTGTGGCAAAAAAAATTATTTCCTTTCGAGCTTAGTTTAATTTTATTTTTGGACTTTAGGAGTAAAACACGTATTTGTGGTAATTTTATAACACACACTGCCCCCCCCCCCGTCATATGCTACTGTCTCCGGAAGCCCTGAAATTTCACTGTCAATTTAAGCGCACCACGCGCTGATCACTACTTCCTCCCAGAGTTTCAGTTGGACTGAGAAAACTTAATTCAGGGATTGCGCACAAATAATAAAATTAGGAGAGTTTACAACGCGCAAGCAAGAAATCAAGCACAACAGACAATTGATTAAATTATAAATACATAATATTTTTCTACTAATTAAAAAACCTGCGCTTAGTCGTAAATTACGATTTTCCCATTCAGGTTAGAATCTCAAAACAAAACTAAGAACATTTCAGTGGTTCTCCCGAGCTACCCAATCAAAATTTGAGGCAAATTGGTCAAGGGGTTTATGAGTTATGATCGGACAAACAGAAATTACAACTTTA